GGTGCAAAGACGTCGGCGCGGGGATCGGCCCTGTCACCGACCCCCGTTCTGCCCCACCTCCCGCGCCTCCACCGCCGCGCCGCGACGGGCCAGTCATGGCCGCTGATTCCTCCTCGGGCGCCGCGCCCTCCGGCGGCCCTGCTCCTGGCGACGCTGGCTGGACTGGCGGCGCCGCTGCAGCTGCCGCGCCGATTGCGGCGACAGCGCGGAGGCCGAGGGCGCCGCCGCGTCGGCCGCAAGAGCCGCGCCACGCGACCAACAAGGCCGCGCCGAGCCGCGCCGAGCGCAGCCGGCCGAAGTGCCAATCACAGGCGTCGCCCTGCGGCATGGTGGCGTGACTGCCTGGAGCCCTACCGCGACGACGCGTATCGCCTTTGGTCATGCCATTTGAAGAATTGGATCTACATCGACGAGAACGATTGCGAATCTATTTGGGTCGACAGAACCACAGCGCGCACGATTGGGCAATTTGATAAACGTAGCAAGCGCAGATGGGGTCCTCAATATTACGTTCCGCGCAGGTTTCGTTTATTGACTTGCCGATGACACAGCGTCGTCACATGTCTTCTGGCAGTTTTTCAACATGCGTATCAGGTTCCACGCGATAATATCGCGTCACACACCTTTCGGCAGTATGGACATAAAAGTATCACGGTGGTTTGCCCGCCACCCATGCGTGATATTCTCGTCGACGCCATGGGCATGAACGTACCCTGGCAGGTCGCCCGTCGCAGATTACATCACGTCGTGAACATCTATTTGTTCGCATGGGGTGTCGGGGGCGCAGTGCGCGGCACATGCAACGCATGATGCGTATGATTCGCTCCAGTTGCGGTTTCCTTCATATTATCCATGATGTACTTCGCACGCTTCCGGCGCATGGAGCGCCGCACATTTGACTTGCGTTGTATGAATACGTTGATCAGTTGTCGTCGTATCTTCGATCGCACATGTAAATGTGAATTGTTTAATTTCAGGACCTGGAGTGCCCAGTGAGCGATGCTTCTCCTAGCTTCATGTGATCAGTTCTAGTCATTATTTTGGTCGCGCTACTTAAGTATTCAGATATTGGGTTGCAGTGCGCCCACATGTTTTGATATTTGTTTCACACCATATTGCGCCGGTGGAAAAACCCGCGTCAGTAATCTTGACCCGGCATTATTTGCGTCGCTTTTTGTTTCTCGTGTTCCCCCAGCCCCGTCGCCCGCGGTGGCTGAGGAGGCCCGGGCGAAACGCGCCCCCCCCCCCAAGTGCAATTCGAACCTTTCCGCGCGGATTTTCTTCCTTGCGGCGGGCATCTTGGAGCGCGCGGTTCGCGCGGCAATGGCGCGGCGATCTTTTGCGCGTGCTTGCGTCGGGCTGGCGCAGCCAGTGATGTCGTCGTAGCGAGCGGCGCCGAATCGCAGCGATTGTGTCCGCTTCGGGACCTTTCGCGCGCGCTTCGTCATTCGCATTCGACGAATTTATCCAGTGCGATTCGTTCACGCCAGCCCCCGCGCCGACGCTGCCATTTCTGCGATGGAAATCTGAGGTCCAGCAACGTTGCATATCATTGTTGCGGAGGTTTACGTCAGGCCAAATACGCCCACTCAAGCGCGCGATCATGGGCACCATTTATCGCTATCGCACTCGCTGTCGCCAACAGTTCCCTCTTTCGCCGAGCGCGTTCCACTGTTCGCAAAATGCTGACTCGCAAGCGTCAGAAGACCATGTGTCTGCCTTCGTGTAATATATCGTAAATCCCTTGCTGCGGATCCAGATCATTTGCGAGTGGGAACTTTGCGAGTAGTGGAACGCGCTTGTCTACTCTTCTACTATACGTCGCTGGCATGTCCTCTCAGGTCTGCGCGGGCCCAATCCCTTATCCCCTCTCCCCTGCCCTTGTCTTTCGTATTTTGTCCTTTCTCAAGTCTCGTCGGTGTTCCTCTTCTCCTCGTTTCCTCTTCCGTTGTCTTCCCTCTCGCCTTCCTTCGCCCGTCCTTCTTCGCCCGTCTCCTCCTTCCCTCCTTCGTCGCCTTTCCGCCGTCCATTCGTTCTCCTTGCTGTTCCCCCCGCCCCTCCTTCCGGGCGGTCTTTCTTCCTTCAATGCAGCCGTGCTCCTCCATCGCGCCCCCCCGTCGCCCATCGCACCCCTTCCTCCTGCGGGGTCCTGCGAGGCCATGTTGGGGCCCTCGGGAAGAGGGCCCGCGGCTGGGATTCGGCTGGGCAGCGGCTGGGCCGCGGCGGGGATCCGACTGGGATTCAGCCGGCGGCGGTTGTTTGTTTGGGGGGGGCAGTTTATTTCGGGGGCGACGGCTGGGCGGCGGCCGGGACGCGGCCGGCATTTTGCCGGGCGGCGCATTTGGCCGCGATTGTTGCCGGGCGGAGGGCCCGCGGGCTTTGGGGGCGCGTCTGCGGCGAAACATTGGCGCGTGATTCGCAATGGTCAGAGCACCTCTGGCATGTTAGTGCTCGCGCCCAGCGCCCGTCGCATCGCAGCGGGCTGCGTATTTAACGCACTTCAAATGTGCGTCTCGGTTGCACTGTCATGCTGCGGCGCGCGGCGGAATCGTCGTTCCGACATAGTTTCTCCGGCTTCGCAGTCGCGCTGCACTGTGCGGCGGTATTATTAGTGCGACGTGCCCCCGTTCTGCTTCGCAGTCGCGCTGCGTTGCGTGGCGGCGGTATTGCGTTGACGCGCGCACGTGTTTTTAAGGTTTGTTATCGAGCTACGCTGCGCGGCGGCATCTGTGTTGCGAATCCCGGGCCTGCCTTCTTCTGCGGGTGCGTGCGCGCCTGTGGCTATTCCTTTGCAGTGGCGGCGCCCTCCTCTGTCGCGACTGGGGGGATGCGCTGCCCCCCCGTCGTCCGACGCGGTTTCCATTCGCCGCGGTCGCCCGGTTGAGCGGCGCAGCGTAGCGATGCGGTTTCTTTTCGGTTAGCCGCGCCACAGCAGGCGTCGACGCGCCGCGCCCCCGTCTCGCAGCTCAGTTTGCTCGCGGCGCGGTTGTGAGCGCCGCGCGGCAAGCTGCGCCCTGCGAGCGCGAATTGTTGAGGTGGGCGCCGTCCACGACCGCGCGGCTCTGCTCCTCGCCCGCCCCCCTATTTCCCCTTCCCTCCAACCCCCCTTCCTTTATCCCAGCTCCTTGTCCCTTTCTCCAACTGCCTCGACGCTGCGCCGCAGCTGCGCCGCTGCCCTTCTCCGCGAGGCTGCGGTCTTCGGGTTTTTGTTTTCGCTTCGGAAGGGGCTGTCCCGCGGCCGGGCCGCGGCTGCGCGGGCATTGTGCCATTCCCGGGTTTTCTTTGTAGTGGCGGAGAGTCGTCGAGGTGTGCCGAAACGTGTTTGGGGGCGCGCCCTGGGCCCATTAAAGGCGGGTTGAGTCCCCTGAGTACCCCGCGCAACATGGTTGGTCTTGTTCTTTCATTCCTAGCCGTGACTGCCTCGTTTGGAGGCTGCAGGGGGCGGAAAGGGCGAGTCGAGTGTACTTCGCGCCTCTGTCCCCGAGCCCCGCTTTCGTCTCCCACGGGCCCGAGGTCCACGCGGAACGGGCGGGATTCGTGACGGAGCGCGCGTGTGAAGTCCGCTCATATCGCCTTTCTACCCATATATCCTGCTACAGTGTCGGCTCAAGGTGTTGGACAGCCATATGATTCAGGACTCGCGCCTCGGCGCATGGGAAAAAAAATGGTTTTCCCCTCCCCATCCCACTCATCTTCTACCAACGGACAATACAGTTGTTTCGAGTCTTCGGCCGTCAACTCGCATCCACGGAATCTTCGCAGCTCGTGGGCGTTATCACCGAGCCCAAACGAAATGAAAATAACCCAGACATGTTCGCGTAGTAAAATGAAGAACGCGACGGAAGGTTTTTGGCCGTTGTCGGTGTCTGGGGGGCTTCGCCGTGTTTTCGGGGCCGTGCAACGAAAACGGCTCGGGATGGAAAAACGCGCTTAGGGAAAGGATCGAGAGTTCTCGGGACCGCGCGTTGGCAAATTCGGGACGTCTCATGTTTTGGACAAAAGGGGTTTAAAGTGCATGGATTACCGACGGGCCCGCTTTTGGAAGAAATCAACGCGCCACTCCGCCAAATCGCGTGGGATTGGCACAATTTGTCGGGTGTTTTCCCCGATCCGTGGATCTGGCGCCCACGCGCCAGACTCAAGCCACGCAAGCCTGTGCCCGACAGTCGCCCATTGATCGCCGATGGGCGCTCGATAGCCCACCGGGCCCAGGCTATCGGCGGTGTCTCGCCGTTGCCTGAGCCAGTTTCCCGATCGTCCCGAACGGCCGCTGGAGGCCCCAGTTATGGCGCGAAGACCACAAGGTGTGCACCTCAAGGCAGGGATGGGATACATCTACCCCCAATCGCCCAGGAGGGTGCCGATTCGCTGTCGGGGCCCCATCGCCGACATGTATCGTCGATTCTAGGTCGGTTTTCCTCTCCCTAAGCCGGAACCTCCCAGATGGGTTTCGGAGGAACCTCATATTTCGGAGCCTCCCTGATGGGGTTCGAGTGGATGGGGTCGGAGGATCGCGCCGCATCGCCAATGCATGGGTCATGCGGCTCGATGTGGAGCCCGATGTTCTTCACGTCGACGTCGCAGATGCGTCGCCGACGTCGCCGATGCGTCGCCGATGCTTCGCCGATGCATCGCAGGTGCATCGCCGACGCATCGGCGATGCATCGGCGACGCGGCGCGTTCCTCCGACCCCATGTGCTCGGACCCCGTTTGAGCGGCGGGAGGAAAGGGGGTCGTCTGCGCCGACATTGGCACGTACGCTCCCCGCGTAAGGTCACGCGTGAGCGCCCTCGCTTCCAGTGTGGCGATCCACTCCTGGTGGCCCGCCGAGGTACAGTGAGCGGCTCGAGGAAGGAACACTTACCTTTCAAAAGGGGCTCGGTCGTTCCTTAGGCTTGCATGTGTTACTGATCGTTCCCTATGCGTTATTTACTATTGATCGTTCCTTATGCGTTACTCCTTGGAAAAAGGGGCTTCGTTCCTTATTTATCGTTCCTTTTGTCAGGCCGATGACTGTACGGTGGCTGCGTTATCTCGCACAGGGTGGCGATGCCATATCGCGTAAGACACCTTCACTTTTGTCGCTCGCTTGGGCGGTCTTCAATCTCGTTCCTCCTCAGAGGAACGGCTGCGCGGGTCGAGGCAGCGGGCGATGGAAGCGGAGCGGAGCGGGTCGCCCGCCGAGGTCCTCATGCGGGCCCGCGCGGCTGGGAGCACGTTCGGGCGCGCGCTCCCAGAGGCCTGGGGGGAGGAGAAACAGCGGCATGAGAATGCCGCCGAAATCGATGGTAAGTACGGGTTACCCTTCCAACGGGTACCCTCGTATCCTTGCCTCTTCGGCCCATCCCCAACCACTCTCGATGGCCAGCTCCGCTCGAAAAGCTTCAGCATGACTGTCGACGGTGCTTGCATTCTTATCGCGTATCCTTACTATTCTTTTGGCTGTAACAGATCAGAGGTTCGGCAGCAAATCGTCGGAGCTTAGTGTACCCTCTCAATTCCGTCTTAAGCGTCGACTAGCGTCGATTAGCGTCTTTGAATCGATGGGCTAACGACGATGTAGCGTCGACTAACATCGATGTAGCATTGATAATTGCCGATTGAACGTCGATTAGCGTCGAGTCGCAGGAGCCGACAAGATGGTATCGGAGGCCCCCGCGTGTTGCCACCGAACGGAGGTCCACGCGGATTCCTTATGCCGGCGCCCCCCCTGGTGGCGCCTCCGGCGCCGCTCCCGGGCGTGCTCCGCGCGCCGGGGGAGTGGGTCCAGCGCCGACCCGGGGGACCCCGCGCGGGCCTCCGAGGGTGCACGTGCTCCTCCCGAGTCGTCTTTTTCTGGCCATCCCAGAGGTCGTGGGAGGTGCCCTCGCGTGCCACTCGGGAGCCCTCACCCTCGAGGACTGGCGGCGTCCACAAGGGGGGTGGCGCGCGGGGGGGCGGCCTCCGGAAGAGGCGGCGGGGCGTCTCGGGAGGCATGGGCGCCCACTCCCGGGGTCGGAGGGCTTCTAAGCAGGCTTCTGAGAAGCGGGGCGTGCTTCTCAGAGGCCCACCCGTCTTCTCGATCTCAGATCCCACGCTGCGAACCAGACTGACGCACCGGGACATGATTGGATGGAGGCCATTGCATATACATATATATATATATATATATATATATATATATATATATGTAACCCTACCTTTACGTTTTCCAGGCTCTTGTGCTGGTCCTGGGCCACACACCGGGCGAGCATGCCCGGTGTGAAAAACCATCGCAGCGCCCGGACCTCGGGGCAGGAGCCCCGCCGCGCTTTCAGCAGCCGACCCCCACTCGGGTCAGGGGCAATGCCGGGCGGGAGGGGCTCCGCGGGGGGGGCAGGGGAGAGGGGGCCGCGTTCGGGCGGGACAGGATCTCGAACGCTTGCGTCGGTTCCTGGATGTTTGCGAGCCTCGGGATGCCTGCCAGCAGCTGCGCCTCGCCGAAAGCGATCCAAGGGTGTCCAGATCGTCCTGTACGGCCGCAGGCGGCCCGAGTTATGGCCCCCGATGGCCATCCCCGCCCAGGAACATGCGGATTCGCTGTCGGGGTCCCATCGCCGATCTATCGGCGATGTATCCCCGATTCCAGGTCGATGCCTCCCGACCCTGAGCCGGTCCGCCTCTAACGTTGGCCCTCATCGAGGAGGAGCTCGCGGAGTTTGCGGATCAGGCGGCGGCGAGCCGGTGCGGCGTCGGCGGGTCGTTGCCGGAGCAGGAAGCCGCTGTTGCGGCGGCTGACCTCTACGGCCTGTTCGGTGGTGTCGAGGGCTATCGTGCTGCCTGCGGCAAGCCCCTCCACCGTGCCAGGGCAGCGTCGCACAGGTTGAGTGAAAGACGCGTGCTGGAGCTGCGGGGCCCCTTCAGGGCCTCACGTGAGCCTTCGAGGTCCGTCTGGGAGGCCTTCGGGAGGCCTGTGGTGGCCTGTGTGGAGAACCTCTGGGAGCTCGTATGCCTCTTGGGGGTCTCTTGGGCCTCGGGGGCGTCTTGGTAACACGCCCAAGCGTGCACAAGGCTCGATGGCGGATTCCAAGTACCTGAGGGAAAATGTGAAGATCGCGGGAGCCGACGTGCCGTTGAATGGTGGAGCGGCGTGGCAGCGGCTCCTGGCCGAGATCGAGGTAGCGATGCGATTGTCGCACCCCCCCCCGGAGAAGCTCAGGACTCTGACAGGGGCAGCCGTGCGCTGCGGCGGCACGGGCGTGCACGGGCATCAGAGGTGGGAGGACATATCTTGCAAGTTGATGTTGTCTGTAGCGTACGAGCCTTTGCGTCGGCGCATCCGCTATGTCGCTGCCCGTGTAACATGGGTCCTCAAGCGCCAGAAGACGACAATTTGCGAGTGGATGGCGAGCTTGACCACAGGTCCAGCATCGCGGCAGTACTCGCCCCTCTTCGCGCAGCACTTGGAGGTGTTGCGCACGTGCCCTTTGGTGCATGAGTTGGTGTTCGGTGCTTATGACAGTGCGGCATCGATTGTTGGAGAGAATATTTTGAAGTGCCTCCAGGGCACCTTGATTGCTGGATGCACCAATCCGGAACTCGTACTTCGACCCGCCACCGAGCCTGCTTTCGATGCCACCAAGATCGTTGCACGAGTGCCTCCACAGAGCGGTCATGGAGGTCCTGCGCGGCAGCGCGTTGTGGCAGAGACGCGCCGTCGAAGTAGTCGCCCTGGAGTGTTGCCAGCTCATTTGCACGATCGTGTCTTCGAGCCCCGCGATACAGAGGGGTCCTTGCCGTTCGTGGAGGTCAGGCTGCGCAGGGCTTTTGCGGTGCTTGCAGGCACTCTGGCCAACCAGGCGTTCGCGTTTGCAGACACGGCCATGTCCTCGTTCTGTCGTCGTCACGTCGACGTGGCCATGTGCGGGATCGATTTCAACCCAGAGCAGCGCAGAGTGCTCGACGCGCAGCAGGCAGAGCACTCGGCGCGGGCACGGCAGGCCGAGACTCGCTTCACGGCAGTGCGCCACTGCCTCGCCACGCTTCGCGGCGCGCGCTAGCTGGCACGGCCAGCTACGGGGTCCGGCGAGCTCCCAGCCGAAAGTCTCGCTCCCGCCCTTCCGGCGCAACCTCGGGGGGCGGCAGGCTCGGGGGTGGACCCATCGACCCCCAATCGCCCATGCCTGAGGCACGGGCGATTGGCCCTCGCCGATGAGGGCCTCGCCGATGAGGGCCGCATGGCCACCCCCTTGCAGGAGCGTGCGGTTTCGGTTTCGGAGCCCCGTCGCCGATCCCTCGCGGTGCACCGCCGCTTCCAGGGCGACGCTTTCCCCCCCGAGCTGGTCCCTCCACGACGGTGCCCTTCAACCTCGAACCAGATCATGCCTCCCTTTTTTCTCGGGGATGGACGGACCTCCTACCCTGACACGTCAATTAAGGAATTGGCCGTTTTCGGTTCGCGAGAGGGCGTCGCGGCCGTCGTTGTTGCGGGTCCAGGTCCGTCGGTTTCGGTCCCAGGTCGTTTTCACTAAGGGGAGGTCTACAAAAGGGAGGTTTGTCCACCGCCGATTTTCCCACTGCAGTGCTTGCTTTTCCTGGCTCTGCTGTGAAATCTGACGGGCTGGCCTTGTCTTGAGCGACCATTCGCCGCTCGCGCGTGTGGTCCCCCGCGCGTGGCTTCCCATGCGAGGACCCCCACGGCCCTCAGAGCTGCCAAGAGCCCCCCTTTTTGGCGTGGAGCTACATGCGTGGGCCCGGATCCCCGAACGGGCCCGGGGACCGTCACAAAGCGATTCAGGACAAAAAGCCGCCCCCGGAGTGTTGTCTTCGCCTCCGGGAGTCCACGCCTCGAAAAGATTGGAGCGCCGGATCTTTGGTGACATCACGCGTCGGCGAGGCGACGGGCGGATGGCTGGCGTTCGGCGCGTGGGGGGGAGTGGGAACGCAGCTCGAGCGCCGCTATGCATCCGAGCGAGAGATCTGTTTGACCGGGCGCGCGGAGGCATGCGCTCTGTGGGCCCGTATTTCTTGGTCGTTAGAAGTAAGTATTTTTGGATCTTCATATTCCAATGTACTTCGGGCGCCTTCCTATTTCAAGGTTCGAGTGTTGTTACAGCTTCCTTCGTCTTCAGGGAGCGGGCAGAGACTGCATGTTCCTACTCACGTCTTCTGACCGATAGGTATCAGATACTATCGGGCTTTGTCGTCCCGAGCCGCTTTTGTTACCTCCCTGGGCCCGTTGATGACCCCAAGAGGCCGAAAACGGCCACCAAACGATTGCTGAGGAGGATGGAGGAGGAGAAGGAGGAGGAGGAGGAGGAGGAGGAGACGGAGGAGGAGAAAGAGGAGGAGAATGAGGAGGATGACGGGGGAGGAGGAAGGAGGAGGAGGAGGATCAGGGCAAGGATGATTGACTTGAGGTAATATGGCTTTGGAGCGCATTAACCTCGTTAGTGGACCCAGTTTCCTAGTGTCACCACCCATGGATGGCACGGTGGCACAAACTCATACCAATGCATGCCAATGCATGTCAACGCATGCCGAAGCATGCCAGTGCATGCGCAAGCCCTCCCAAAACAAGCGCAAGCATGCCACAGCATGCCAACGCATGCCATTGCATGTGAATCCATGCCAAAGCATGCGCAAACATGCCAATGTATGCCAAGGCATGCCAATGCAGGCCACTGCATGCCAATAATGCATGCCAAAGCATGCCAACGCATGCCACTGCATGCCAACGCATGCACAAGTAATTATGCCAGCGCATGCCATTGCATGCCAATGCATACAAATACGTGCAAATGCAATGCCAACGCATGCCAAATCATACCAAGGCATGCCAAAACATGCGCGAGCATGTCAAGTCATGCAAATGCTCATCAATGCATGCAACATTCATGCCAACACATGCCAAATCATGCCAAAGCATGCGCGAGCATGCGAATGCACACCCGCGCATGCCACAGCATGGCAAAGCATGCCAATGCATGCCACTGCGTGCCAATACATGCCCAAGCATGACAATGCATGCCGATGTACGCCACCCCATACCAACGCATGCGAATGCATACCAATGCATGCCAAAGCATGCGAAATCATACCAAAGTCTGCGCCAGTATTCCAGCGCATGCCAATGCATGCCAATGCATTCCAGTGCATGCCAATGTGTGCCAATGCATGTCCTCTTCTGGGCAAGTGGAGGCAGCACCTCCGTCGTTTCCGCTGTACGAGCGTGCAGAGAGTGCGCGGGACCGCCGGCTTTGCCGCCGGTCTATATCCTGGGGGTCGATGACTCGCTAGTTGGGTATATGTTCAGACCCGCTGGCCTAGTCACCAGGTTGTGACCTTAGTGCAGGTGCACAGGTGGAGGGTAGGCAGGACAGCCAGCTTTGCCACCAGGCTGTGTCATGGAGGTCTGTGCCCCTGGTGTACAGGTGTGGAATGGAAGCATGGCCGCCGGCATTTCCGCTGGGCTGTGTCTTGGAGTTTAGTTCCTCAGATGTGCGAGTGTTGGGGAGCAGGAGGATGAACTTGAAGATGATGAAGGAGGAGGAGGAGAAGGAGGAGGAGGGGAAGGAGGCGCAGGAGGAGGAGGAGGAGGTGGAGGAGGAGGAGGGGAAAGAACAACTGCCGCAACAGCAGGACCATGAGTAGGGGGGGCGAGGAGCAGGGCGGCGAGGAGGAGGAGGAGGAGGAGGGGGAGGAGGTGGAGGGGGAGGGGGATGAGGCAGGAGCGAGGAGGACGAGTAGGTGGAGAAGCCCCGGAGTTCTGGGGAGCCCTGGCCAGGGCAGTCCTTCGATAGGCTTCTCGTTCCACAGGACACTGTGTAGCCGCAACCGCCTCGGCCCAGGGCCATCAGAGCGTGAACTACCTACCCCGCTTTCGCTTCCAGACAAAACCAAGCCATACCACGCGCCTCCTCGTCAAGCGGCCTGACCAGTACAGGCTGCAATTTGGCATCGTTTGGTATCTCTTGGAAGCGAGGGTGGTCAAAAGCGAGGTAGGTTTGTTTTCCCCCTAGGCCAGGGAGGTTGTTGGGCTCTCCCCACCCGCGCAGCTTCGCCCCCCCCCCATTCAGCAAGGCAGGGTCCACTGCGATCCGATCCATTCGATTCGATATCAGCTCCGGCAGTCCCGATTCGAGCCGATGCCGACCCAGAGATCCGGAACATAGATAGGGCGGCCAGTTTTGGGCCGTCGTCGGCCGCCAGGGGCTTGCAACGGGCCCCGGGGACGTCAAACCACGATTCGGTATGAAAAACCGTCCCGCGGGGAGTTGTCCAGACCTGTGGGGGTCCACGCGCTGTTGTGTATCCCAGCGCTGCCGAGTCGATTCGAGTCCGATTCTTTGTCGATGCGGCCATATCCGATGCGGGTTCCGATCCGATTCGATTTCACGAACCGATGCTGATTGTTCTTGTGAGGAGATGAGGGGCAGCACAGGGGGGACGGCGCACTCCGACCACGTGAGCCACGGAAGAACCTGGGGTCGATTGAGCGGACGTTCTCTCGCAATTTTCCTGCGTGAAGTTGCGCGGAAGTGTCTTCGTCTCCACGCGGCGTGCCACGTTGGCGGCCCGCGCAAGCTGCGGCGTACGGTCGCGGTATCTTCTCGCGCAAGACATGTTTCTTTGCGTCCCTCATTGGGTCCAGACTTTTTCGATGCGGGCTCCCTGGAAGCCCCGACCCCTTCCGCAGGGCTGGCTTTTCGTACCGAGTCGGTTTCCACCGTCCCGCAGCCCTACGAGGGCCGCCACAGGGCGAACGTATCCAGACACTTCTGTCATGATGGTGAGCATATCTGCACGATGCGACCTCCGCCCCTCCTCCTCCTCCTCCTCCTCCTCCTCCTCCTCCTCCTCCTCCTCCTCCTCCTCCTCCAACTCCCCCTCCCCCTCCTCCTCCCCATAGGCATATCTGTCATTCTGACACGTCTGAACGACGCGGGCAGATCTGGGTGGTCCTCCCGCGCAAGGCCCGCTCCTTCTCCCTGCTCGCCCCGGTCTCCCTGGAGCGGCCCAGCCAGCCAGCCGCTCCAGTTTTGTTCGATGCTTGGTCACCCAGATGTCTGAGGACCAGACTTCTGTCGGGCGTGTCCCCCTACAGGGGGATTTTCGACGAAAAATAAAGAATACACCAAAAATACCCCAGAAAGGCCAAAAAACAGTACAGAACTAGTCCGCGGACTATTTTGGGACTATTTTTTTATTATTTTAGGTGTATTTTTTATTTTTAGTCGAAAATCCCCCTGTAGGGGGACAGGCCCGACTTACCACTAGACCTCCCAAGTGGGGTCGGAGTAGGTGGGGTCGGAGGATCGCGCCGCGTCGCCGATGCATCGACGGTGCGGCTCGATGCGGAGCCCGATTTGCTTCGCGTCGACGTCGGCAATGCATCGCCGACGTCGGCGATGCATCGCAGGTGCATCGCAGGTGCATCGCCGATGCATCGCCGATGCATCGCCGATGTATCGGCGATGCGGCGCGATCCTCCGACCCCATCTACTCCGACCCCATCTAGGAGGCCTCTATAGACAACTTCCCTTGCATTGCCAGCTTTTCGTCCTCAGTCGTGTCCTGACGCTCCCGGATCCCGTTGGGGGCCCCTGCACTGGATCTCTGGCAATCTGCAAGTCAGGGGCCCCGCAGGTGGCGCTCGCTGCCTCCGGTTCCCGCCTCAGGCCGAAGATGGCCCCAAACCAGCCGTGCCAGTTACAGTCGGCCCGGATTGGTGGGTCGACCCTGCCACATCAAGGGTACCTTTTGTGTCCTGTGTCTCGCGACCCGTGCATCCTGCATTCCTATGGCAATGTGGCCCCCGGAAGGGTCTTTTGCCCTCTCGCGTGTCCTGTCCAACGAATCCGAGGCCCGAACACCATCACGTCACTAATTTTGGGCTCACTGAGGCCCCAGGGGCCCCAGATTTGTGAAGGCATGTTTTTTTCTCCCACGTACGGACCCCGACATTCATTACTTCACTAAACCGAGCCCCGGACGAAAGTCAGGGGCCGAATTTCTGCTGTGATGCCACATAGGTTTTTGTATTTTGTCCTCGCGCGTGTCCTGTCAAATGAAGTCCGACTGTAGTCCAGCGCGTCGGCTCTCTGGGGGAGCGTCGGCGCGCGGCGGCGGCGCGCCTCGCCGCACCGCGCGGGCGCCGCGGCCCGGCGCGCCGGCCGGCCGCGAGTGCCGTGGCTGGTCGTGCGCGCTCTGCAGGCCCAGGCGGTGTGGCGCTTTGCACGCGGGGGGGGGGGGCACGCTTCCGAGCGGGGAGCTCAGGGAGGGCACGAGAGATCGAAGAGCTCTTGCCTGGAGGAGGGGGAGGGGGGATGGGGCATCGAAGAACAATCATGGCTTCAGCGCAACTGTTCGAAGGTCCGCGCGAGTTCTTGGATCCTGGCTGGAGCCCCCCGGCGGCGCCTCCAGCGCCGCCCCTGACGCGCTCCGCGCGCCAGGGAGGAAGGTTCAGCGCAGAGGCAAGAAATCCGCTCGGACCGTCGAAAGTGCATCTTTATGTAGTTCTTTCTTCCTAGATGAGGAATGAGGAGGAGGAAGGACGAGGAGCAGGAGGAAAAGAGGAGGAGGAGGAGGAATGAGGAGGAGGAAAGAGGAGGAGGAGGAGGAGGAGGAGGAGGAGGAGGAGGAGGAGGAGGAAAGAGGAGGAGGAAAGCGGATGAGGAGGAGGAGGCCAGCGCTCGCCGCACGCGCACGACGCCTCGGCTCGCCAGGGGGAGGCGCCATCGCGACGCCGGCCGCCCCACGACGGGGCGGCGGCCTGCGGCCTCGGGGCGCGGGGTCTCCCCTCGCAGCTCCCTGGGGGGCGGGGGCGTGCGTTGCGGGGGCGTGCCCGGGGGTCGGGAGCGGTGGACGCCGTGCAGCACCGGCGGCGGGCCGCCTGTCAATCCCAGGGCTTTTTGTGGAGGATCGGGGGGGCGACGTCGGGGTGGTGCTGTGCACGCCTCGTTTCCCCGCTTTCCCGGGGGAAGCCGCACGCACGCACACGCACACGCACACGCACACGCACGCGCACACTCACACGCACACGCACACGCACACGCACACCCACACGCACACGCACACGCACACTCACACGCACACGCACACGCACACGCACACACATAAACACACAAACACAAAAACACACATATACATACTTGTTTATATGTATATGTATGTATACATATATATGCACACGCACTAGGACCCTGTGATTCACCAGGATCCGCTTTCCTGCGCGAGTTCCAGTGCAGGGCCGGAAGACTCGTCGGTGTATCGAGTTCGGTTCCCTAATGAGGCCAGCTCGGAGGTTGATAAACCTCCTAACCTGACACGTCGATTAGCGAATCGGCCGTTTGCGGTTCGCGAGGGGGCGTCGCGGCCGTCGTTGTTGCGGGTCCAGGTCCGTCGGTTTCGGTCTCAGGCCGTTTTCCTTGAGGGGAGGTTTACTAAAGGGAGGTTTGTCCACCGCCGAGCAGCGGTGATCTCCATGGCCAAGCCTCAGTTGGACTTCCGCCTGCTTCCAGACCTTGGATTACTCATCCAGCGGTTCCTTATCCAGTGCCCTCAACTTGGGGAACTATGCCCCATGCGTGTTGTCCAATCGACGCTGGGGTATCGGACACCGCCGCTGGGGCTTCTTTGACCGCAGGCGTCCTTCAAATTCTGAGCCCTGGTCGGTTTTTCTGGGATCGGACTTGCAGTGCTTACATAGGACGTACACAGCCTCGAGGAACGTCATGGACTCCCCATCCACGCCCCCGACCCTGAGTCACAAAAGTCTGACCCTGAGATCTGGGCGTCTCAGGTTTTTGGTCCCAGGACCACAGATCGATCAGGAAGAAACATGCCACAGGAAGATGGGGTGTAATTGGGGCTCCTGTCGTGATTTTTTGCGATGGTGAATTTGTTTCGCAACGACGGATCTCAGGGGACGGAGAAGTGGGAGTCTCTGGAAACAGTAGCGGAGACGGTCGATTCCTGAGACGGCTCTTCTGACCGCCGCAGATTGGCGCCTAAGATGGGTTTGCTGTTCCGTCGAGTGAAACGTTCGCTTTGCTCACAGCCTGCACTCCGAGCGCAACTCGTGCGTGGGTGCAGTCGCCGTGTGCTCCTCCCGAGGCGCACATGCTCGTGCACTGCTCCGCTGGCGACCTGGTGGGTGAGGCCGGGCAGCTTGTCGAGGAGCCAGCCTTCGGGGGGAGAATATCGAACAAAAACAAACATGCAAATACGAGCATGAACTCTCGGAGCTGCAGAAGTGCATGTCTATGAACTTCTTCCGTCCAGGCAGTGATGGGGACCTTCGGGCCCCACTGGCAACGTAAGGGAACACATCGCTCCGCAGAAAGCGGCTGCCTGTTCCAGGGGGCGGGCGACAGCAGGGGGGCGTGCGCACGGCACGTCGAGCGGGCGGCGGGGATGTTCGGCGGTCTGCGGTCGCTGCCTCCGGCCCCGCGCCGAGCCGTCGTGGAGCCGTGCTGGGGCCATCCGGGGGCAGTCCTGGGGCAATCCTGGGGGGGGAGGGGATCCGAGGCGGGAATGTACACATGACCGCCGCCTGGAGGGGCAGGCGGTGGATATGGACATATTCGGGCCCGTCGGGGCCGAAGTATATCCATATCCACCGCCCGCTGGGGCACCAGGACGTCGGTTCCCAGGCGGTGGATATGGATAAAACCCTGCCTCGCCGGGGGGGGGGGGGGGGAGGCCTCTCGGGGCTTCTGGGGGGCCATCTTGGGGCCTCGAGGGGGCATCCTGGAGTCTCGGGGCCCCGCACTGCATCTCGGGGCCTTTGGGGGGGCACGCTCGGACCATCTTGGGCAGTCTTGGGGGGACATTGGGACTACCCTGTGGCCTCTACGGCCTGTCTTGAACTCCTGGTAGATCATCTTTGGGGCAGAAGGGGCGAGATGCAAAACGTTTTGTTGCCCTCTGGGGGGCATCGTGTTGAGTTCTTGGGACCTTGTGGAGTCGTCTCAGGGACTGGCTTGGACTCTTAGGGCCTTCTTCGAAGCCCCTTCCTGGAGGCATCTCGGGCTCTTGGGTCCCTCTGTACCTTGGAGCTTGGAGCGGCCGGGTGGCTGAGACGATTACGCCGCGTGGCCCCCCTTAAGGTAGAAAGCAGAAAATAAGGATTCGGGACGCGAGGAACAAGTGATCGAGGAGGATCGAGGATCGAGCAGGAAAGAGGATCCAGGATCTGGAGAGGCATTGGACGGGAGGCAGGGCGAGACAGAGGGAGCAGAGATGAACCAGGAACGGGCAGCTCAAAGACTGGTGACACCCCCCCAGCCGAGTCCAGCGACCTTTTTGGTCCATCCCCCAGGGACATCGATCGGGAGGGACTGGCCGAGGGGCAGAACGCCTCGACATCCAATCGCCAGGCATCGCCGATAGGGGCTGATCGCCCACCCCGCCCAGCGTCGTCAGAATGCAACTCTCATTGGATTTCTCCCCGGCTCCCCTGATTTGCCCGTATTGCTCGCTCTCTCTCTCTCTCTCTCTCTTTCTCTCTCCCCTCGCTCGCTTGCTGCTGCCGGATTGGCTCGAGCCAGTTTTCGATAATCTGGCCTCTGGCATGGGAGACCAGGGAGAAAAGGGGCCCTTCTCTTGACCCCTGTCGGGGTCCGCCGCCGTTGCCCCGCTGTGGAGCCCGGAGAGCAAGGCCCTGGAGGTTCCCTTGTGCCGCAGTGGTAGCGGAGCGCCGCAGGCGCGCCATAGCGAGAAACAGATCTACGAGCAGCTCGAGTACGACACCCGGCGGGTGTTGGACAACGGCAACAAGCAAGACGTGATCACGGACGAGCACTTCGACGAGTGCGATGTCGTAGCCGGCAAGAGTTGCAGCAGCACGCGAGGGCAGGAGGCCGGCGATGGGCGACTGCATCTCGGCACGCACGACATGGGTACAGAAAGAATGGGTACAATGCCCAACAGCAGTTCCTGTTCATTTTGAACAGGACTCGCTGTCCGCGCCGCCGCGGCCTGTCTCCATTTGAGACAGAAGGCCGCCTGCCCAACAGCGGCCGCTGTTGGTTTGGGGCAGCATTTGTTGTTGGGCATTGTGTCCATATTTTCCGTGCCCATTTCGGTCGTCCAAAGCATCCTCATCCCCGACGCTGCCGGGGAGGCTCATCCGTCGGCGGAGGCGGCGAGGAGGAGGTGCCCAGTTCAGCAGGGACTTGTCCAGCCTCAGGTGCACCTCCTGCAAACGTGTAGGTGACCTACACGTTTGTAGGAGGGGCCCAGTTCAGCAGGGACCCAGAAGGCCTCCAGAGTTGGGGCGGCTGGGCATCGCGCTGGCGGGGGCACAAAGAGGACGTGGCCCGCTGGATCGAAAACATTAATCTGGACGGATCGTGGAGCTGGGGTGCCAGGGCGACGGGTTCGGCGAGGACGTTTGGCGGGTCAATCTCAATGACCGAGTTGCGCGCCAAGCCTTGGACGTGGGTGGCGGCCCCTCGCAAATACAGGCGCCGACGAAAACGAGGACGACGAGGAGCCAGGCCACTAGGAGGAGCCCGACCCCATGGCCAGTACCAAGAGGCTGATGGAGGTGCTCGCGACCATTGGCGTGGACGAGCGGACGCGGCCCGTCCTGGTGATATACATACCTCTACATGCAACTGCACAGTTGTGCAGGAGAGGACTTAAACGCGTGGGCGATCAGGTTCGATGAGGCTCGCGGCCAGCTAGACGAGGAGGACTCGGCGTTGCCTCCGAAGACCGCGGGCTGGTGGCTGATCGAGGGGCGAGCCTGACAAACCGCCTGCACTTCACGGAAGGGCGCCACACCATGCACGACCGCAACGGAGTGAATACCTACAACAAGCCGGGGAAGGTATCGCGAAAGAAGAAGGTGCTCCGAAAGTTCAAGGAGGTGAACGTGACCGAGGACCTTGACGGCATCAGTCAGTTCGACGAGGGCGAGCTCGAGGCCCTGGCGTCGGAGTTCGACAGCTACGACGGCGACCGCAAGGACGACGCGACTTTCGAGGGGGCTCTGACCACCGAGGCAGACGGAGAAATGCTTGCGGCTGAGATGGGGGCGTCGTCGACGATCTTGGAGGGATCTGAGAATGACCCTGAGCTGGCGTCAGAACCCGGCAACCTAGAGACCGGTGCGAAGTGGATGACAGGGGGTCTCATCGCAGCGCGCGAGAGTAAGGGGCGAGTGAAGGAGTCTCGCGAGGATCGGATATTCTGCAAGGGCTACGCCGGCAGCGCGAGCTCCAGTAGCGGGAAGTGGGCTGCTTGACAAGTTCGGCGCGGGCGGCAAGGGCAACTCGCGCGACCGGTCGAAGAGCGGACTGCCGCGCCTGCGGACATGCCGGCCGCTGGGCCGGAGACGCACGCAGCCCGAAGCGAAAGGAGTGGAAAGTTGAGCAGGCGAAGAGGAAGCTGCAGCAGCGGCCCAGGCCATGGACGCGCGCCCGGTCAACCTTCTGGACACCCAGCGGGGCAACGACGCGCCGAAGGCCGACGTGATCGAGGCCCCGGTCGCCCAGGTCGCGGGCGCGGGGCCGGCCTCGCGCGCTTGTGCAGCCGAGCAGTTGCATGCAGGAGGTTCTGCTGTCGTCAGTCTCCATCCGCGGACTGGGAGGCGACGGGGCGCTGGACTCAGCCCGCGAAAGTTCGGTCTCCTGCGATGCGGATCGGGGATCGCTGCGAGGAGCTGGGGATCGACAAGTACATTTCGAAAGAAAGGCAGTTTGCGGTCTTCCGGCTCGGGATCGGCAGGAAGCGCGCGTCCACGGAGAATTGGACTGCCCCCTCCGCCGCTTTCAACGTGGACGCCGACCCGCTGTTCTCGACAATCGTGGGCTCGGCGCTGCAGCTGCTCATCGGCCGGGGCCCGCTGGGGGCCATGCGCGCAGACATCGACTATGCGGGCGTCTCGTTCGCGTCTGCGAAGTCGAGCATGGGCCCGGCGCGCCAGGGCGGGGCCGACGGCGGCCGCGACTCGCGTGCCGGCGCTCCCGCGCGCTGGCTGGAAGCCACCCGCGGGGCCCCGCGTCGGCGAACGAGGCGGCGTTTTGGACGCTCTCGAAGGTCAAGGTGGCGCCGATGACGACGCGGTCGGAGATGGACGCGCGATGCGTTGGCGTATCTCAGCCGGTTCCAGCGGGCCAGAAGACGAGGACTGGGACATGCTGGGAGGCCGCGGCGTGGATTTCTAGGGCCCGCAGATGCGGGGGCGCCGCGATGACGACCCCGCGGCGTTCGAGGCGACGAGTCGCGACGGGCCGAGCTGGCGCTCGGCGAAGGCTCGCGAGACGATCTGCCGCGACACTGGCGACGTCATCGAGGAGCTGCGCCAGGTCGAGGGGCTGTCGATGGAAGGGGCGCGCGAACCGCTGGGCCCGCCGAAGAACATCGTCGCGCGGCTCTGGCCCAGGCCCCCGCGGCCCGCGCCAGCCCGCGCGCCGGGTGAGACGCGTCCGCCCGCGTGCGATTGAGGGCAGTTGCCGCGGGTTCCCAGGGGCGCGCTGAATGATATTGCCGGGGAGCTGGGCATTCCAAGGGCCCCGCCCTTGGGCCAGGGGGCGCCGCTGATCGCCCGGCGCAGGCGGGCTCGAAGCGAGGCGCTCGTCGCGGCAGGAGTGCGCCAAGGCTCATCAAGATCTGGCGGGCCAGTGGGAAGCCTTGCCATCCGTATCACTGGGGAAGAGACGGACACACTGCCCGAACCAATCAACCAGAAGGTCCTTTGGCCGGGCAAACGATCGCGAGCCTGCCACGTCGGAAGGAACAAATGCCTTCGCGGCCAATGGGGATATTACAGCGAGGAATACGACAAGGATACAGTTTATCGTCCACCAGAGAAGGCTTAGACGACAGATGGGTGCGGATGCATGCGCTAGCGGAACTCCAGCTGGCATTCAGCATGTGCACTCAGCAGGACAGCTCAAAACAACGATCCCAGCCAGGCGCGCTGGTAGACATCGGATCGAAAGTCAATAGCATCAGTATTAATTCAGCACGAGGGTTCGACCAGCAATCTCGTCAGCATGGACACATGCCGAAGGTCATGCAACTAGAAAGCTGCTCCTCTATGTCAATAGAGTTGGCAGTGGAGCAGCCGCGTGCCGCACCCTGGGGACACCCCATGCGCATGCAAAGACCAGCGCCACGATCTTCCACCGAACGCAAGGGTGGATGCTTTCGTTGGTAGCATTGCA